CAGTGAACCTGGTGCTCTCTACGCTGGGACCTACGGTCCTCCTTTTTTTCTTCTCTCTCTTTTCTCATTTTACACAAACTTACACCATTTCAACAGTTACAAATGCCATTTATCTTCAGCCACTTCCTAAGTGAGCATCTCCAACAAAGACCTCTGGAATTCCATACTCATATTTAACAACTTCCTTGATGAGTTCACTAAAATGGATTATATTTAACATGGCTAAAAGGTTTAAGTTGATCAACCACCTCTCTGATTCAATTCTAAATTCATCCTCTGATTTTTCCTCAAGATATAGTATCATATCCTAATCAACTGAGTTTCTCATATTATACCTCAGAGTTCTTCACATTCCCTCCTCATGTCAGCTATGCCAACAAATCCACCAGTGAATCTTGTCAATTCAAACTCCAAAGCACAAGTCAAACTTACTCACTTCTTGCCAGCTCTATTACCCTGTACCCAGACTAAGACACCAAAAAAACTGAGTTTCTATAGCAAACTCCTAATTCGTATCTGTTTTTTCTTCCTTTCCCCCAACCAGCTCCATAATCTCTTCACACAAGAGCCAAAGAGTGACCTTTACAGAATGTATGAAGTTACTCCCCACGCTTAAAGCTGACTGGACCCAAAGTCCTTTTCCCTAACATGTCTGTAAGGATCTTTACATCCTTTGATTTTTTTTTAACCACATCACTTACCAACACATCCTTTCTGCTATGATTTGAGTAAGTGACCCTAAAAGATTCACATGTTAAGACAGCTGGATCCCCGGAGGTGCTGGCAGCCCCCACGGACTTTTAAGAGGTAAGAGGTGGACCCTAGTGCAGGTCCTCACTGCGGGACCTCCACGCCCTCCTCTCTGCTTTCTGCCTCATGGTGGAAGCAACTTACTCTGCCACGTGTTCCTTCCATGATGTGCTGCCCTCACCAGCAGCCCAGGGCAATGAGCTGCCCACTCTCAGACTGGAGCCACCAGAAATATCAGTCAAACCACTGGTTATTTTGTTATAGTAATGAAAGGTATTTGTTATTGTAATGTGAAACTAATACTCTCCCTCTATCTATTCACCATATTCCTCAAATATGACAACTTTTTGGGCTCAGTACCTTTGTATAACTACTTTTGTTGCTTAAGTACGCTTCTACCTTTCTTTTACTCCCACTTTCAATCAGCCTTTACTAATGTTTTGACAACTGCGGGTGGAAATGTACAAGAGTGCAACAGATATGGAAGATGATATGGTACAAATGCTAATAACATCAGTATAGTTGTTCCTCCAAAATTTTAAAACATAATTACCATGTGATTCAGCTCACTTTTGTGTTATCAACTCTTATTTTTAAGTGTTTTTCCAAAACACTGTAAGCAGGATCTTAAAGAGAGGTTTGCTCCTCTGAGTTCATTGCAACACTATGTACCATATCCAAGATTTAGAAACAACTTACATGTACACCCGTGGAAGAACTTTTTAAAATGTATATGCATAACGAGTACTATTTCTACCTTTAGAAAGAAGGAATCTGGCCACAGTATTCTCTCCTGCCTGGTAGTCCACCCTCACCCTATAGAGTAGGCTTCTTTTATTTGGCGCAAACTCAGTCTGCAGAGCCTGTTTCTTTACTCACCTTTAGTAAAACTCTGCTACCATTTGTGCTTGTCTTGACTAGTTCTTTGCTTGAGACAAAAAGAATCTAGAAACCACCTCCAGAAAGAGATACCACATCCCCAAACCAGCCAATATCTGGGTTGGCCAACCAAGAGAGCAGGCTTCAAGGTGAGCAATGGAAGCCCCATGAACTACATCCTGTAGATTTCACTGACTTTGCCACTAGGCTGGTCTTTGCCACTATCCTTGATCAGTGGGAAAGGCCCAGAAGTTAGCCACTCGTGTGAACAGACCAAGTTAGCCGCTCTTATGACTGTGACAAGTGATCTTCTAGATCATGCAAGCAGGCAGAATGTCAGTGACTCCAAGACTAAAGAGGACTAAAAATTATTCCCCAGAACCTCTGGAAGACCTGAAGCTCCTCCGAAAGCAAAATTCCAATACTGCTCCACATGCAGATAAGTCAAGTCACAAAGAACCCCAATTTACTACAGTTTAAATGGGCACCTGTACTGAGGCTCCCATTTTGAATTAAATCCATTTATGTGGGTAATTTTGCTAAGGTTATGGCTCTCAGACAATTTACCTAACCTCTCTCTTTGCCATACTTTGTCCTTGGTAAGTGTGAAAAATTCAACCTGCTCCTCATCACTTGGAACCTACATGCCCAACATTAAAATAGTAACAGACAGCTCAACAGTTGCTACCTCTTTTCTCATTGTCTTCTGACAGGTTCTCTTTTCCTTCAACTCAGCCAATGAGCCACAACAATGCCAAGGTAGTTGGAGAGCACATAATCCCCAGTAGGTAGGGGTCTGCAACCTCTTCCAGACCAAAGATGCTATAGAAGACAAAGACTGCCTCTTCCTCAGAACTCCCATAAAGAATTACAGGAGTATGTGTCTCTCAGGGGGAAATGGAACAGGAGAGTGGGCATGCGATGCTGACTAGGAAAGTAAGAGTGACCTGGTAATTACAAATTCCCAAGATATAAGGGAAGAACAGTTCCCAAAGCCCTGCAGGCAGACTTCTCCAACAACTTGAGCAGTTTTTCCATGGGATGGCCTCTATCTAACTTCAGACTGAGGAGTAGATAATGCAAAAAGGACTATCTACACAGAGTTTTTGCCACCATGTTCTCTCTTGCATGTTGGCCCTGTAGACAGTGCATTTCCTTACTGGGATCGAGCTGAGGACCTCACGTGTGCCAGGCAGGTGCTGTGCCACTGAGCTATATCCCCAGCCAGGGTGTGCTTCTTTTCCTACTTTTATCTGCCCCAAACTCGCCCTGCAGAGCCTGTTTCTTTTCCTAGCATTAATAAAACTTTGCTACATTAAAAATCTTTGTCATATGCTACATGAATAAACATCTTTTAAATAAATATTTAAAAGAGTCAAATTCACAGAAGCAGATAGAATGGTAGTTGTCAGGGGGAAATGGGGGAATGGAGGGTACTAGTCAGTAAGAGTTTCCACAATGCATGACGGAAAAACTCAAGAAACTTGTCTATTAAGAGGGTAGCTTTCATGTTATATGTTTTATCAGTTAAAAGAACAAAGAAGATAATCCAAACCACTTATCCAAATCTAGTGACATTCTCATTAGTTATACAGCAATTGCATTAACAATTGCTTAGGCATTAGACCAATTGGGTTAGCCTGGTTAGGGAAATTTTAAGCTACTAGTACACTACAATGTAAAGTAATGAGAATAGTCCTAAGTGTAAAAGGAAATTTTTGTATCCAATATCTGCCAAACTCGATTTAAAAGCCTCATTACATTATATGTATGCTAAGCTTTAAAAAAAAAAAAATCCTTTCAAATTGGTCAGGGGTGGTGGTGCAAACCTGTAATGTCAGCATTCAGAAGGCTGAGCCAGGAGGATCACTGCAAGTTTGAGGCCAGCCTAGGCTACAGAGTAAGTTCAAGGCCTGCCTGGACTACATAGCAACACCCTGTCTCAAAAAGACAAAAAAAAAAAAAAAATCCCTTCAACTATTAATCTGTCAGTAAGCAACCACATGCTAGGTGAGTGTATCAGTGAATTACATCCTCAGCCCATGTCCAATTCTTTAAATGAATTGTAATACTGCAACCCACTAGCGGCACAACATATACCATAGCACAATCTAGCCAATAGCATAATGTCAGCTTTATAAAGCATTACCAAAATTAAAAGAAGAAATACTATTAAATGTCTTGCTATAATTTATTGTGTTGTTAGTAAGACACAGGCAAAATTCTTATAAGGACTTGAGAGGATCAGACAACCCTCTGGAGTTAAATTCACACTATTCGCATTCAATTCAACAAACATATCTTAGGATGGTAAAGCAGCTGCTCCAAATAGAGCATTCTAAATGCTTTATAATCCCAAGAAATTTATTTCATTTATTATTCATATCTATATACTAAGACTTAAACATAAAACTTAACATCTTCATCAAATTTAATGTAGTTTTAAATTCATTTAAGTGTATATTAATTACACATCTTAATATTTTCATTATATTTTGCAGTTCAATTTTGAACTTTTGAGCTTGTTTTGTAGTACTAGGGTTGAACCCAGTAAGTGTTCAGCTACTTGACAATTGGAGACAGGGTCTCACTATGTTACCCATGATGGCCTTGAACTTGGGATCCTCCTGCCTCAGCCTTCCAAGTTACTAGGATTGCACGTATGCATCATCACACCTGGCTGTTTTGATGTTTTCTAGCTCTGCATTGAACCTAAGGTCTACTACATGCTAGGTAAGTGTATCAATTACATCCTCAGCCCATTTTAAAAATGAATTATAATACTGCAACCCACCAGTGGCACAACTCCTAATTTAACATTATACTAAGATACAACATGAATGGATACTTATACTTCAAGAGTTCCAAAGAAGTAAAATATCTGTAACAATAACTTTCTTGTGCGATTCACAAATATTTCTACTTTGGCTCTCTAAGTTGCCTGATTAAAATTTGCTCTTTCCTCTGAGAAATTCAAGGAAAGATTAAAATCTATTTTCGGCTCTTACAATTCTACTGACCCCCAAGATATGCAATAGAGATAAACAGTTTCTAGAGAAACAGTTCCAATATACAATTAGAATTTCTTTAAAAATATCACTAGCATAATTATATTATAAATCACATTAACTATGGTTTTTAAGTGTCAGAGAAAAGAGGTAACCATAAAATCCATAGCACCTGACCTAATGAGAGACTTGGTTATTCCTAATTTAAAAAAAAAAAAAAAAAAAAAATCAACACCTCATCTTCTATCCTCTATAACAATGGTGACAGACTCAGACACATAGATACTTTCTAGTATCCCCTTCCTGCCATGTGTCCTTAAATAATTTCTGTTTTGTTCCCCACTCAATTCCAACTTTACCTACTTTTTTATGATGGGAAGAATGTACAGATGCTTCTAAAATGGGCTCCAACTCTCCTTGGTGGCTGTCATTGTCACCTCCTCTTGTACCATCAAGTTGGTGCCCTTTTCTGAGCCTTATATCTGGCTCTGGAGTCTTGCTGCACCCCGATCGGTTTTCTGCTAGCTCGTTCATGGGATACCCAAGTCTTTCTTACAAAGCGGTCTTTCTTCCTGTCCCTTCTTCTTGGGAGAATGGATTTTCAGGACAGTAAGTTGATTCTAAAGAAAGGAAAGTTTTGAAAAAATATTTTTAAAATAAACACATACGAGTGCTGGAGGAAAACATCAGTTACATTATGATACATTCAAACAACAGAAAACTCAACCACCATTAAAATGATAAAAGAATAAGGTACAAAATATCTGTATTTCCTTGATAGGAAAATTATCAAAATCTATTTTAAATAAAAAACTCAAGACACAGGGCAACATGTTTATGATCCCATTTATATGTTAATTATAAAATATATAAGTATATGTGTATCTAAATAATTACTAGAAGTTATTCAAAACTATGCTCTGGCATAGAAGTGCGTAAGGAAGAACCTGGGGTCCACAGTGAGAAGGCTTACTGATCTCCTTGTTCCACCTGCATTTTCTTTAACCATAAACACATTACCTTTTCATTAAAAACCTACCTAATTGTAGAAGAAACATATGTAAGCTCATAGATTGTAGCTGGATATTTACATATTCAATCTCATTTGAATACTACAATGACACTATAGGGTATTTTTATTTCTATTTCACAGGTGATAAAAACAAAACTCACCACATTTTATAAACAGGACAATGGTAAAGAGATTGTGAATTTACATAGCACATAATTGTTTGCATTAAAAAATGTTTAATGTTTTTTATTTCAACATTTTTTATTTGTTCTGAACTCTAACTACCTACCTTGGAACATAAACTCAGGACCAGAGCATACTCTGTATATCCAGCTGTGTTCCCAGAAAATGCTAGGCATATAAATGTTTAACAAAGATGTGATAGATGATATTCAGTGTTTATATATGATAAACACTTCAAAAATCGTCAATCCGTTCTAAACTCATCTGCAGTAAGTTTCCTAGTCTTTAGTACTCCATAATTCATTGTACACAAATTTTAGACAATTGGTTAAATATCCTAATAAGGAGATTATCCCAGCCAATCCAACTAGAAATACTAAATCAGTAAGAAATGGAGAGGTCACATTGCTTCAAATCACCATCCTACTGTGTAAAAAGGTCTTTTTTTTTTTTTTTTTTTTTTTGTCTTTTTCCTTTTTATCAGTACTGGGGACTGAACTCACGACTGTCTGCTTGCAAGGCAGGCGCTTATGCCGCTGAGCTAAACCCCCAGCCCCGTAAAAAGGTCTTTTACAGCAAGGAACAGAGAGGAGGGGATACAGTAAGACGTCCCAGGCTTCTTTGCTCTGCCCCTTAGGAAAGAAAACTGGGCTCCAGGGACCACCACCTGCATATTCTGTGCCTTGCTCTGAACTGTGAAGAGAAAGGGACGGCTGGTGGTTATGGAGCCCTGAGGTTCAAGCCAGTAGTCTCAAAGAGGGCCGGCTGCTTAGGGCTGGCAGCTGCTCATTCACCTACGCTATGCAAAAGAGTGGCCTATTATGCCCCCACCCTGCAGAAAGGTGGTGAACCTATTTGTTTCTAAAGAAAAAAAATTTAACTTTTAGACTTCTATTCTGCCATGATGGCTAAAAAGAGGTCAGGAATAAAGCTAAGTACGAGAGCCTAGGTTCAATATACAGCACCACAAAAATAAAGAGTCTTGACACCAAAAGTATACCCACACCACAAAAAAACTTATCAATGGACTTCACCAACATTAACTTTTATAAAAGGTCCTGTAAATTAAAACCAAGTTTCAGACTGAAAGAAAATATTTGCCCATCACATATCCAATACAGTACTAGTAGTATCTAGACTACATGAAGAAAAGAGAACTCTTAAAAGCTGAACAGTACAAAAATAATCTGACTAGAAAATGCAAAATGACAGGAACAAATATTTCACTGAAGAGAATATAGTAATGGCAAATAATCACAGGAAAAGATGTTCAACATCATTAGCCATTAGGGAAATGAAAATGAAAACCAAAATGACTATAAACCTAATCAGGGATTGGGGATATGGCTCAGTGGTATAGTGCCTGCCTGGCAAGGGGAGGTTGTAAGTTCGATCTCTGGTGAAAAAAAGAGAAGAAAAGAAAAGGGACAGAGAGAGAGAGAGAGAGAGAGAGAGAGAGAGAGAGAGAGAGAGAGAACATGGAAGGAAAGAAAAGAAAAGGAAGGAAGGAAAATAGACAGGCAAAAATAGCTTTCTCTCAAAGATGTGCTTAGGGGCTGGGGATTTAGCTCAGCGGCATAAGCGCCTGCCTTGCAAGCGTGTGGTCGTGAGTTCGATCCCTGGTACCGGTAAAAATACAAAAATACAAAAAAAAAAAAAAAAAAAGATATGCTTAGGCATTCTTTAAGCTGGGCATGGTGGTGTACACCTGTAATCCCAGCGCTCAGGAAGCTGAGGCAGGAGGATCACTGCAAATTCGAAACCAGTCTGGGCTACAAAATGAACTCAAAACCAGCCTGAACTGCATAGTGAAACTATGTCTCAAAAAGACAAAAAACACTAGTCAGGATACTTGTAGTGCCCACACCTGTGATCCCAGCATTCATAGAGGCTGATGCAAGAGAATCACTGAGTTTGAGGACAGCCTGGCTACCAAGCGAGTTCAAGGCCAGTGTGAACTACAAAGCAAGACTTTGTCTTTAAGTAGATAAATCCTAATCAGAATGAGTTTTTTAAAAAGAACAGAAAAAATTGTAAAAACACTAACGAATCAGTGGACTGAAGACAACTGATTTCTGGCATGACAATATGAAAAATTTTTCTAGTCTGTGCCACAAAGGATGTGGTAAAAGCCTCCAGAAGCATAAGCGCCTGCCTTGCAAGCAGGCAGTCATGAGTTCGATCCCTGGTACCGATAAAAAGGAAAAAGACAAAAAAAAAAAAAAAAACCCTCCAGAAGCAGCCAGGCGTGGTAGCACACTCCTGTAATCAATCACAGCACTCAGCTGAGGGGGGCAGATCATTGCAAGTTCAAGACCAACCTGGGCTACAAACAAAGTGAGCCCTAGGCCAGCCTGAACCTAATAGCTCAAAAAAGACAAAAAAAAAAAACACAAAAAACCCTCTAGAAGCTAGGAATGGTAGTGCACACCTGTAACCTCAGCACACAGGAGGCTAAGGCAAGAGGATTGTTGCAAGTTTGAGACCAATCTGGACTAAAGCAAACTCAAGGCCAGCCTGAACTGCATAGTGAGACCCTGTCTCAAAGACAAAAAAAAAAAAAAAAAGAAAGAAAGAAAAGAAAGAAACGCAAACAATGAAATAGATTTGTAACCTGCACTACAAAAGGGAACTTTAAAATTTAGATTTTTTTTTTTTTAAGAGACAAGTGGCTTCTCCAGCCTCCTAGGCCTAGGAATAAATACCTCCCCTTTCTCTATTTAGCCCAGATGAAGTGACAGACTACACAGATGCTGGTCCTAGAAGGTCAGGGCCAGTTTCCTTTCCAGTAGAAAAGAGGGAGTGCAGGAGACAGCTGGAAGGAATAAGGCAAGTCTGGGGATGCTGAAAGTCTCCTTGTAGCCCTCCTCCCTTCTGTTCCCATGCACACTTGGACACAGTAAGATGATATCTGGGGTAAAGCCTTCCATCTCCTCCAAGGGAACTGTAGATAAAGCCTGTCTCCTTTTCACCAAGTAAGTGACCTCTTCTGATTTGGTCAGCAACAAGCAAACAGACCTGAGCATATGGTCCTAACTGTACAATAACAGTTTCTAATTTCAACCAGAAGCATTAAACATAAGTACCTGGAAAATTTTTCAAGTAATTCATCCTGCATAAAGCTTTTCTTTTTTAGAGCAGAATATATTTATTGGGGAAAGAAAACTTCAATGTGAGAAAAACAGAAGGAATCCTGAGCAGGTTGCTGAGGACCCAGCCTTTTCTAGAGATTTTCATACAACGAAACCGTGAGGGTAGGTGAGTACAAAATGAGAAATTACAAGGTGGACATGGGATGGGAACAAAACTATGGTCAATCAATAAGATTATAAGCATAACTGTTCAACATACCATATAAACTTAACATTTACATAAATATTACAAGTAATATTTATTACTTTCTTTAATTAGATAAGAGACCACCCTATTGAAAATTAACTCAGGAGTTAAACATGATAAGTGATATCACTCCTTGAGTGGGACATACATACATAATGATAATGTGAAAAAAGTACAAGTACAAAGGATGATATGAAATGACAACCACCATTTTGGAGGGAGTGGGGGTGCTAGGGATTGAAACAGGGCCTTTGCACTGAGCTACTGTATTCTGAGCTCTTTTTATTTTGAGACAGTCTTGCTAAATTTCCAGGGCTGGGCTCAAACTTGCAATCCTAACTAAGGTTCCGATAATACTGGGACTAAAAGCATGTATCATCACACCAGTCCCAAAAGTCATATTTTTAATGTTAAAGAGTTAAGTGTTAAGTGTTAAAATATATCTTTTATATAGAATAAAAGCCAGTCTCCTAAGACAGTCTTTCATACGCAGACTGAAATCAACATAAGTGATTTTCAATTCTGACAGTTAAAAAAAAATCAGTATCAATTGAGTTTTAAAAAAAAAGGTTAACTGCAGGATTTCTGTAAGAAAACTAAAATTCCAGGGGTTTGAGGATATAGCTTAGCAGCACAAGTGCTACCTTGCAGGCACGAAGTTGAGTTTGATCCCCAGTACACACAAAAAAAATTTTAATTACATGTTTTACAAAATTTGAGTTACTACTGACACAACTCTGTACTTTCATAAAGTTTCTTAGCCAAGGAAGGTGGTGCACGTCTGCAATGCGAGAACCTTTACAATGAACAGTCTCCCTTAATTAAAAAAGTAACATGACTAATCACATCAATCCCCAACTCTTCACAAGGGAAACATGAAATACTTTTGATAAAACTGAAACAAAACGTTCTGTCATACTTGCCTTATATTTGTGTAATCCATTTAGGACCTAAGTGACAATGCAGCTCTGAATGCTTACTCCCTTCTGAAATTACCCAACTATCAGGTGCCTATCTTGGTGGAACAATGTCTATACAAAAGAGCAAAACCAAACCCAGATCTCACAATTCTGACTCCTCATTGAG